AAATAAACACTTTTCCAGATTAAAAAAGGCTGAGGAAGTTTATTACCACTAGACCTGCCTTATAAGAAATATTAAGGAAGTCCTTCAAATTGAAAGGAAAGAATATTAAACAGCAACACAGAAGCACTGGAAAGTATAAAACTTGCTGATAAAAGTAAATATATAGACAAACTCAGAATACTGTAACAATGGTATTTAAATCACTTTTAATTCTGATACAGAAGTTAAAAGACTAAAGTATAAACTATAACTGTGAAACTGTACTAATGAATACACAATATAAGAGGATGTAATTTGTGGCATCAGTAAAAAAGTGTAAAGAGGGCAGGAATAAGCAAAAATACAGAGCATTTGTAGTTATCAACTTAAAATAGATTGATATAACTATATGATGTTTTATGTAACCCCCATGGTAACCACAAAGAAAATACCTATAGAAGATATGCAAAAGTATATTAAAAGGAAACAAAGCATGTCACTACAAAAAAATCAATGAAACACAGAAGACAGCAAGAGAAAAAAGAACAATAAAAAAAAGCTGAGTCAGAAAACAATAAATGACAGTATTAAATCCTTCCTTATCAGTAATTACTTCAGATGTGAATTGATTAAAATCCCCAATAAAAGGCACAGAGTAGCTAAATGGACTTAAAAAACAACAACAAGATCTATACTATCTGCAAAAAATTTACTTTAGAATTAAGGACACACACAGGATAAAAGCAAAGGGATGGAATAAGATACTCCATACAAATGCTAACCAAAAGAGAGCAAAGGTGGTGACACTTACATTAGTTAAAAACTGTCAAAAGAGACAAAGAAGGACATTATACAATGGAAAATGGTCAATTCGCCAGCAAAACATAACAATTATAAATACATATGCACTCAACAGTACAGCACCCAAATATATGAGGCAAACATTGACAAAACTGAAGGGATAAATAGACAGCAACACAGTAATAGTAAAGGACTTGAATGCTCCACTTTTAATAATGGATAGAACATACAGACAGAAGATGTGTCTGGAAACAGATCTGGAAACAGAGAATTTGAACAACAGTATAGACCAAATGGATCTAACAGACATATATAGAACAGTGACCCACCGCCACCCCCCACCACCACAGCAGCAGAATACATATTATTCTCAAGTACAAATGAAACTTCTCCAGGATAGATAACATGTTAGGTCAAAAAAAAAGTCTTAACAAATTTAAGAAGATTGAAATCATACCAGGTATATGTTCCAACCAAAATGGAATGAAACTAGAAATTAATGACAGGAAGAAAACTGGAAAATTCACAAATATGTGGAAATTAAACAATATGTTCTTGAAAAATCATTATGTCAAAGGGGATATTAGAAAGTATCTTTGAGATAAACAAAAACTAAAACACAACATACCAAAACTTATGGGATGCTGCAAAAGCAGCAGTAAGAAGGAAATTCATAGCAATAAAAATCTACATTAAAAAATAATAAAGATCTCAAATAAACAGCCTAACTTTACAAGTCAAAGAACTAAGAAAGAACAAACTAAGCTCAAATTAGAAGAAAGACTCTCAGATAAAGAAAGAAATCATTGCGCATCACTTTTAGGCGGTCCTGAAATAAGCAGTGTATTGCAGAATACACCTCCGAGGAAACAGGAGGTCCATGAAGATGAAATAATCCATGTGGGAACAAAGAGGTGGATAATATTTTGTACCACAGTACAGTATAAAAGGGAACGATATTAGGAAATAGTAATCCTATATGCTAAACACCTCAAAGTAGAAGTTAACTATTTGCCCCAAAAAAAAAAGTGAATTTGTTAAATAATCAAACACAAATTACAGGATGTGAAGAAGCTGCAATACAGCAATGCATTAATTTAGTGCATTAATCATAATCTAATACAGTACAAAAAGTCAAGTGCAAAAAACCCTATATCTTCCACAAGTACAGTTTCAAAAAGTACATTTTAAAAGATGTCTCTTGTACAGTTAGCATGCGAACTGAACAGACACAGACATTACTTACATTCTTTTTCTGAGTGTAGATGAAGAAATACTTGGCAAGATTTCGAATTTGATTTTTTTTTTTTACAGATCATACATTTTAGCTGAAAGAATTTTTACCCATTTTCACACAGCAACTCTTTCATGGGTATTTTAAAATTTTTAAATAGAGAGAATGCATTTACCAAAATACAGATCTACAGGAAAAGTGTCTGAAGCAAATACTAAACAGACATATTTAATCAAATTTATATTTTAGGATTAAGATGAATGGTAAGTGGGACTTCCCTGGTGGCTCAGTGGTTAAGAATCCGCCTGCCAATGCAGGGGACCACAGGTTCAAGCCCTGGTCCTGGAAGATCCGACATGCCGCAGAGCAACTCAGCCCACGTGCCACACTACTGAGCCTGTGCTCTAGAGTCTGCAAGCCACAACTACTGAGCCCATGAGCCACAACTACTGAAGCCCGCGCGCCTACAGCCTGTGCTCCTCAACAAGAGAAGCTACCGCACCGCAACTAAGAGTAGCCCCTAACCTAATGAAGAATAGCTCACCGCAATTTGAGAAAGCCCGTGTGCAGCAATGAAGACTCAACGCAGCCATAAATAAATAAATTTATAAAAAAAAGAAAAAAGATGAATGGTAAGTGAAATTTCACCATGAAAAGTCTATTTTAATAATGAAATATACCTAGCTTGAAAGCCAAAGAATTCTAACAACATATTAAAAATCTAAATCGCTTTGACCTGTTCAACACAACACAACAAAAGGCAACAGTCTTATTGTTAGAGATTCATAAAAAGAATAACTGTAGGGCTTCCCTGGTGGCGCAGTGGTTGAGAGTCTGCCTACCGATGCAGGGGATACGGGTCCGTGCCCCGGTCTGGGAAGATCCCGCATGCTGCGGAGCAGCTGGGCCAGTGAGCCATGGCCGCTGAGCCTGCGTGTCCGGAGCCTGTACGTCCGGAGCCTGCGCTCCGCAACGGGAGACGCCACAACAGTGAGAGGCCCGCGTACCACAAAAAAAAAAAAAAAAAAGAATAACTGTAATGACTATTTGTACTTACTTGTTAGTACCTTTTTTAAAGTTTTATTAAAGAAAATGCTTAATCTTCTATGCTTTTTTTCTCTTTGTTTTAGTTGTTTAATATTTCCATGCATTTTATTTTTTTGTTTGTTTTTGTTTTTGTTTTTTTGCGGTACGCGGGCCTCTCACTGTTGTGGCCTCTCCCGTTGTGGAGCACAGGCTCCGAACGCACAGGCTCAGCGGCCATGGCTCACGGGCCCAGCCGCTCCGTGGCATGTGGGATCTTCCCAGACCAGGGCATGAACCCAATGTCCCCTGCATCGGCAGGCGGACTCTCAACCACTGCGCCACCAGGGAAGCCCTTCCATGCATTTTAAAAGAAAAAATCCAAAAAGCTTTAAAATGTTTTTCTCTACCATACCTCCCAAATATGAAGAAAATGAAGGAATTAATTTGTTTTCTAAGCCACAATCATTTAGAAATTTTTCTATCAAATGTGAACCAACCTATTTGTGTCTTATTTTGTAGGTAAACTGGGAAAAAAGTATTTCCATCTACATGAACATTATTTTTAGGTGTACAGTATATTAAGTGCCTATAATATTAAAAATAAAAGATATGAATAGGGCTTCCCTAGTGGCGCAGTGGTTGAGAGTCTGCCTGCCGATGCAGGGGACACGGGTTCGTTCTTCTTTCTCTAATTGCTTTAGGTGCAAGGTTAGGTTGTTTATTCGAGATTTTTCGTTTGTTAAGGTAGGATTTTATTGCTATAAACTTCCCTCTTAGAACTGCTTTTGCTGCATCCCATAGGTTTTAGGTCATCGTGTCTCCACTGTCATTTGTTTATAGGTATTTTTTAATTTCCTCTTTGATTTCTTCAGTGATCACTTCTTTATTAAGTAGTGTATTGTTTAGCCTCCATGTGTTTGTATTTTGTACAGATATTTTCCTGTAATTGATATCTAGTCTCATAGTATTGTGGTCAGAAAAGATTCTTGATACAATTTGAATTTTGTTAAAATAAAAAAAAAAAAAAAAAAAAAAAAAGATATGAATAAATTATTCTTCCCCCAAAATAATGTGAACACAAGCATGTCTATACACTAACAGGATTAATGTTTACCAAAAACTGGAACTTTCCCATGGGGACCTATCATACACATGAAGTCAGATTTTATGAAATGATACAAACATAATTAATAGACTGGTAAGTACTATATTTTCAAATGTTCCCTCATTGCTGGTGGGAGTTTAAGTTTTTCTCATGTGGAATTTTTAACATTCTTCCAAAGTTTTAAAAATGTTAGTAATTTGATCTTTGTTTTCTGAAGAAATGATGAGAGATTCCCATTCAGAATTAGGTAGAGGAATATTCACTGTTATTTGTATTAGAAAAACTTAGAAATAAACCAAACATACAAAAATGGAGAAATTATTAAATAGATTATCTTAAAAGATTGTCCACTATGATATTAATAGAGTATTAAAATTATATACACAATAAGAGTATAAATAATATGAAAATAGAGTATGAAATTATATATACAATATTATCCTTATTTAGACACATGAATAAACTCTCAGACACATTGAAATCAAAAAAAGGAAAAGATTAGGATGAAAAAGACAAAATCTTGTTAACAGGAGCAATATGATCATGTGTGGTTTACATATATTTTAATTATTTAGGTGTTTTATTTTCTACCATCTCCACAATAAACATATTGTAATTGAAAGGAAAACACAAAATATTATATTTTCCAACTGTAGATTTTGTAAGAAAGCAATTGTTTCTAAAAACAAAATTTATCCAGAAAAATATAGCACAGAAATGTGTGCTCACCTCATTTCTAACTTAAATAATTTGACATTAAATATAACCATCTTCCCCAGTTCCCAAATGAACAGGTTATACCAAAATGTAAGAAAGCATCATTATTACTTGTTTCCACATTATATTAAGGCTTACCTTCACAAAGTTTCTGCTTCATCACCTCCCTTATTTTGGATATTGCAATATAGTCTTCCACATAAAACACATAAGTAGATGAAGGCTTGTTGGCAATAGCTCTAAGTTCTGCGTCTTCTGTTTCTGAACCAACACCGATGGCAAATAATGTTATTTTACTGTCTCTTGCTGCTTCTGCCACATCCTTGACTTCATCTTGGGATTTACCATCTGTAAGGACTACTGCTATCTTAGTCAGCAATCGTGAAGACTTGGCAAAAAGGTAATCAAGGGCAAACTGGATGGCCTTTCCAGTCTTTGTGTTTCCTCCCAAGTAGTGTATGGACTCCATGGCTGCCATCAAATTCTCTCCTGATTCATGGCTCCCAAGGGGAATCTCCAGGACAGGGTAGTCACTATACTGAACCACTCCAACCTGAATAAACTTCGGTCCTATGTCAAAGTTTTTTGTGATATTGACAAGCCACTTTTTCACTATTTCAAAGTTTTCTGGGCCAACACTGTAAGAGCCATCCAAGATGAAAACTAAATCTGTTGGAGCAGTACGACAACCTAAGTGAAAAAGAAAACCATCAGAGATATATGTGTTACATAAAAAACAAAAATTAGAGGTTTTAAATGCATGAATTTTTAATTAACCAGACAGGGGGAATCCTTTCACATGTATATACATAAAGTCGCCACAATGTATAGTTTAACTATCTTATAATTTTATACATCAATTATACCTCGATAATGCTGAATTTTTTAAAACAAGATAATAGTAACCAGTTCATAAGAGCTTTGTGAAGATTAACTATGATACACTGCCTAGCTTATAAAAATTCTTTATAAATGAGGGCTATGATTTTTGTTATTTTTTAATTAGCTTGTCTTAATTTAAGTATTAATGATTCAGCTTTAAACAACGGGAGAGGCCACAACAGTGAGAGGCCCGCGTACCGCAAAAAAAAAAAAACAAAAAAAAACAAAAATAGGGAATAGGGGCTTCTCTGGTGGTCCAGTGGTTAAGACTCTGCACTTCCACTGCAGGGGGCACGGGTTTGATCCCTGGTCCGGGAACTAAGGTCTCACATGCTGTGCCATGTGGCCAAATGAAAAAAAATAAAAATAGAGAATAAAAAATGGATGCTGTATATGAATATGATATCTAGATATTTCTTTGTAGGGGCAGGTATTAATATAAAGCAATATTTTATTGTATTTCTTCACTGAATAAATGAAAACAAAAAATTTTAATAAATGAATGATTTTCAGCTATAGACTAACATCATTGCTTTAAGTTATCAGTGAAATATGTTTAGTTTAATGCTAACCTGAAATATTTATAAAAATTTATATAAACCAATGAATGTGGGGAAGAAATTAAAAACAAACTTTCCGCCATCTTCAGGACTAAAGTAGCCAGCAAAGATCCACATTCTTGATATAGCTGAGAAAATGTAAATGAACCAAGGTTATGAAAGCAGTCACTCATGCACTACATGCAAGATGAATGTTTAAAGGTCTGAATGCTCATCTTCAGTCACAAATGTAGCCAAAACAATAGCTCGTGTGAAGTGAATCTATGTTCAAGGGCATAAAGCTATTCCTTTCTCTGTAAAGATTCTTGTTTCAAGATACCAGAAAACATGTGATCAGCACATCTTAGAGTTCTACCAGGAAAAAAAAAAGACTATCTGTGGTGTAAGTTATACCCAGACAAGTTCTAAGCACTTGTGAAAAGAAAAAAAAAATCTTCTTTGCAGCCACTATGGAAAACAGTAAGGAGGTTCCTCAAAAAACTAAAAATAGAGTTGCCATATGATCTAGCAATCCCACTGGGCATATATCTGGACAAAACTATAATTCAAAAAGATACATGCACCCCTATGTTCATAGCAGCACTATTCACAATAGCCAAGACGTGGGAAAAACCTAAATGTCCATCAAAAGATGAATGGATAAAGAAGATGTGGTTCATACATACAATGGAATATTACTCAGCCATTAAAAAGAATAAAATAATGCCATTTGCAGCAACATGGATGGACCTAGAGATTATCATACTAAATGAAGTAAGTCAGAAGGAGAAAAACAAATACCATATGATATCAGTTATATGTGGAATCTAAAATATGGCACAAATGAGCTTATCTATGAAACAGAAACAGACTCACAGACATAGAGACAGACAACATGTGGTTGCCAAGGGGAAAGGGGGGTGGGGGAGGGATGGGCTGAGAGTTTATGATTAGTAAATACAAACTATTATATGTAGAATGGATAAACAACAAGGTCCTACTATATTGCACAGAGAACTATATTCAATATCCTATGATAAACTATAATGGAAAAGAATATAAAAAAGAATGTATACATATTTATAGCTGAATCACTTTGCTGTACAGCAGAAGATTTCCTTAACTCTCTTTTCCACAGTACCCAACATGCTTCTAACCCTGTCTCATTCTTTCAGTATGTATATACTGAATACCTGTTCTGTCCTTGATATCATGCTAGGTACTGGCTTCAAACATACTTGAGATACCTCAAAAAGCTCCCAGCCTAGTTAAGATGGACAACTGGCTGGTTAGAGAAAGTACAAAGAATTATGAGAACATTGAGGAGAGGGTGGCAACATAACAATGCCAAGCCAGGGGCAGTTTTGTTGGAAGGCGGAAATCAGAAAGCAGAGTTTTAACCAGGTCAAGAGGATGACATTCTAATCAGAGGGAGCAGCAAGTGCAAAGGTCCAGAGGTGAGAGACAGACACAGCCCCAAAGACAAACTGGTTTGTTTGGGTAATTCCAATGGTTTTGAAACTGCACTCCTTCTCGGGTAGGACTTGAACCCACCCACACCTCAGAGTGGGACTTGAACCTGTGATCCCTGACTAGGAGGGGACTCAAAACCACTGTCTTTGGATTAAAAGCACTCACCTGGGGTCAGGACTTACTGAAGCTCAGGTTCTTCTGTCTCCTCACAGAAGCAATTCAGCGTGAGGCAAAGTGGAAGGCAAAGAGTGAGTTTATTGGCATAGGATGCTTGTGAGAGACAAGCGGGCAGGCAAGGGAGCGCCACCCCAGGAACAAAGAGCCCCAGGAACAAAGAGGGCTACATTTTTTTAATCAAAGAAAAAGTGGGGAGGGGAGAAGACCACCATCTTCCTCATTCTTGGGCAGACGTCAAGGCTCATATCACTAGTTCCTCCTTTGGCCCTATACGGTCTAACCAGGTCTAACTGCCATGGCACTATTTAAATCATATGTATATTAGCGAAAGGGTGGTGACATATACTAAGATATAGTAATTCACCTCAGGTTTGGGTATAATATCCACTTTCACCTGGTTTCTTTCCCTTTTCACCTCTATTTCTGTCTTGGTTACATGCAGAAATGCTACCCTGCAAGGACTATTAACTCCCTGACTTCATGTAATAAGATTCAGAGCCCATATCTATTGCCTTGTATTTTAACTATCAGGGTTTGTGGCTTGAGCGTGCCTGGCACTTGGATGCACCTGGTCTTCCTTCAAGGTAGGGTAGATTGTTGGTAGGTTACTGGATTCTTTTCTTGAGTGGTCATTAACTTACAACGGTCTCCCAAACTCCCTTAAAATTCCCTTTCTGTCTTTAATCCCCTAGTGGGATTTCTAAACTGACTATTTAATTATCCTACTCTATCTCTATCAGTTTGAAGTGGCCAACAGGAAGAAACAGCTGTACTTGCTGCCTTCTTCTCTAACTTTTGCACTCAAAGCAGCCAAAACACTACATGGGACAAGGATCCCATCCATGTCCTTGGACATGATGAGTTAGAAGAGGATGAGGTGAGTCACGGTAATGAGATAGCAAATTTTACATCCTGTGGTTTTACTCAGGTTAATGGTCTCCCTTAAGTAGTGTTTGGATGCCCAATTTAAAGTTATAATAAGGATGGTTTATTTTCTGTATATATTGCAAATGAGATATTATAGTTGCAAAGATCGGTATCGGAGAAAAAAATGTTTGGTGACAATTAGTATTTTTGCAACTCCTTGGAGTAAATCAATCAATCAACCAATCTCTCCCTCTCTTCACCTTCCTCACTTCCTCCTTTCCTCTCCTTCCTTTCCATTCTTTTCCTTCTCTTTGTCCACTTGCATCTTTGGGATGATGACAAAGCTCCTATGAAGAGGCCTCAGTTTCACCATTATCTCAACTCACCTATCACAGTACCTAGCAGAAGTAAACACTACTGTCAGGTGAACACGTATGACAGTCAAGAAGTACCCCCCCCAGAAAAAAAAATTGCCAAAACATGGGTTTGTCTCACAAATATAACTGTGATTATGACACCATCTTAAGATGCTATATGGCAGATGGTGTCTCAGTGTAGGGGGTGTGAGGGACACTATTCCAACAACCTCTGTCATGGTGACCACTGCCAGACGCCAGGGTAGGGACGGCAAAAATGGGATTCTGCCCAGATGCATATTTTTTAACCCAAGGGAATGAAGTTTTCCTGTTATTTTTGTAAGCTGAACAGGGATGACAGGGTTATGCTTTTATTGGGGTTTTGTGGGAGAGACAAAAGGACAGGAAGGTTGTGTTTGCAGGACTCTTCGAGGTTACCCTTCCTCGATGCTATGAGGTTCGTTATTGCCTGGACCTGCGAGTGTTTGTGTATCACTCGATTCAGTGGTTACAAATTCTTACAGGGTTATTCTTGGCCCTTTCTACCCCTTTCCAGAGCCATGGGGCATATATTTCATAACTGCAAGGTTAGCCAAGAGCATGGACATAAAAGCAAGTACTGCCATTTATAAACTTCAGACAAAATACCACTCCAAGAAACCTCCTCCTCAGAGATGTGAATCACCAGTGTCATAGGAAGGGAATGCACTGAGGATGAAAAGAAGTGTTCAAATACTAGTGACAGCTCCAACCAGATGTATGACACTATGCAAGGCCCATACATTTTATGCATCTCTCTTCCAACTCAAAAAACAAAGAGTACCTACCCCATAAAGTGCTTGGGTGGATTAAACTATAAAAGGGTTATGCAAACATTAAATACTATTTTTTTTTAATTTTAAGCCAAGTTGAATCAAATTGTCAAATCATCTGATTTAACTGTTAGAGAAACCATAATTCATTTATAGTTAGGGGGTTTATGAGTTTTAAAATATGCATATAAGCACACTTTTAAAAAGAAGTAAGCTATCTTTTTAAAAGTGTCTTTTTAAAAGTAGGGTGGCCTACTTCTCTCATGCAAGCTTTCCTACAGGCAATCAGAATAACAGTCACCACTTACTGAATGTCACCATGCTAAGTCGTTTATATGCATTATCTTATTATCTCTATGAGATAAGCTCATAGGATGGTCCTGATAGCCATCCTGTGAAGGAGGTACTTTCTTTATCACCATATTATGAAGCTTATATAAATGGCTGAACATGGACTCAATACCAGAGTGTTTATTCCAAAGCCTGGGTCAATAAAATGCACTATTACCATAGAATTTTCTCAAAATGACTTCTGATAGCTTTTCCTCCCAGTTAATGTGTAACATAGCGATTCATTTATTTTAGGGAATCACAGCATCAAAGACAATAAGAATAAGATCCTTAAAGCCATTGCTAGAGCTCCTCTTATTTGATTTCCACAATCAACGTGTTGATAACAAAAAGACAATGCTGATAGTTCTTACTTGATCTTATTTCCCCATCTTCAGCTAATACAGAATTCTGAAGAAGCAGGACCAAAATTATCCAAAGAAATGTAATATGGTGAGCCATGTTTCTGTTTTTGTTCTTATGTTTTGGTTTTAGGATTCCTAAAAAGAAAGAGAAAAAAAAGAAAGTTAAATATATTGGAAAAATAAGACAAATACCTAACAATCATAAGTTTAAATTTTTAAATTGCAATACCCAGTCAAAGCACAGTTAATTTTTGCTAACCTTAAAATTAACTTATGTGCCCAAAATAGCCACATTTCAAATATATAATACAAGACAACAATGAATGGGAGCTGAGGATGAACATGATAAGTTTTTAATTCATAATCATCTTGGAAAAGCAAAAACTTTTCTAAAACTTTAAGCTTTGCTCATAATATTTACTAGAATTCCCCTTTTAGCATAGCCTGCAGAGCCCTATCACATTCTTTTTATTATCTCAGTGGTAGCACATATCCTTCTTTTACATGTGTATTTGCATTTAAGAAACACTCAAAGGGTATCTAGTAAAAAATATCTATAGGATAAAGCTGAATAATAGGATTTAATTTTTTCATGGGCTGTATTATAAACATTAAGATCTATTTTATTTAATTCATCAACACTCAGTTATGAGATTAATATGTTTTCTAAGTTAGTCCAAGGACTTCACTCCTGGTTAGAATGTGGAACATTGCCAAAGACTGTCACTCTCAACAATGAGAACACGTCAGATAAACTATAAAACTATAGGCTTTTAAAACCCAGCAGAAAAGACAGGGCTTAAAGAAACCTAAAAGAGCTAAATTCCAAAAGTTATTAATACTTTATAGGACAGAAAAGATTCAAGGCTGCTTTTGTCCCTAGTAGAAAGGGAACCCTGTTCAGGAGGAGGAAGAATTTGCTACAGTACAGAAGCAACCAGTCAAAGCTGGAGTGACATATTAGAATCCCAAGGGGTTCCAGACTCAGAGCAAGGATGCCCCTAGCCAGCAATTCTTCCCCAGGAGCCTTAACTGGGTACACGGAATAGACAAGTAATACAGAGAATATTGAAAGCAGTATAAAACAGTCTAGAGAGATCCTCTCCTTCCCTCTTCCTGTTCAAGTCCCCAGGGAATTCCTCAAATACAAATCCTTGTCTTGCTGAAGGTTAGGGGAGAAGCCACAGAACTGTGGGGAACTTAGGGGAAAGAAAAGTCCCTCCAAGGTACTCCAATCCTTCACTACAGTGGAGAGACATATCTCAAAAAGCAGAAAGGACAAGAGAGAAAAATAGAACTCAAATACAAAAAGCTGGAAACCATACTGACAAGCTGAGAGAAATCTCCCAAGGGTCTCCCAAAATATGAGAAGAAACAAAGTTTTATGTCTGATCAGGAGAAAAACACTCAATATAAGCAGATTCAGAGATTATCTAAATGTCAGAAGTATTAAGCAGGGTTTATAAAAAGGCTATGAAGAACATGTTAAAGGATCTAATGAATAAGATGGACAACAATTGCAAAAATATGTGAAATTTCAAAAGAGGGATGGAAACTATTAAAAAAAAGATACAAGTGAAATGCTTGCAATGAAAATATATAACAAAAAAGAAATCATGCAGTGAGCATGCATACGTCAGAGGGAAAGATCAGTAAACTTGAAGATAAGTCAATAGAAAGTATCCAAAATGAAACCCAAAGTCAGGAAGAGGGGTGAGAAATAAAAGTAACAGAGTATCTGAAATCTGTGGGACTGTATCAAGTGGTCTTGATTTAGCTTCTCAGATGGAAAGGAGAAAGTGAATGAAGAAATATTTTTAAATATAATGGCCAAGAATTTTCCAAATTGACAAAAGCTACCAACAATCAGATCAAACACACCCTAAGCAAAATACAAAGTAAGTCATACCTAGGTACATCATAATCAGTTGAAAGTCAAAATAAAAGAGTAAATTCTTAAAACAAACCAGAGAAAAAAAGACACACAACATACGGAGGAACAACAATAAGAATTTTAGATGGAAATTTCATGGTAATAAAATAGGCAATGGATCAGAAAGATATAAAAATCCTAAATATGTAGATATCTAATAATAAAGCTTCAGAATTCGTGAAGAAAAAATGGAAAAAAACCCTAAAGAAATAGACAAATTCAAATCATAATGTGAGATTTTAAACAACCACTTTCAAAGATTTTTGAAGTAGATTAAAAAAATTTAGTAACAGTACAGAGGTTTGAAAAACTTTATCATCCAACTTCACCTAGTTGACATTCATAGAATGCTCCACCTAACAACAGCAGAATATACATTCTTTTGTAATACATATGAAAGTCATCAAAATAGACCATATGCTGGAGAAAAAACAAGACTCAAATTCCAAAGAAATGAAATCATGCAGATTATGTTCTTTGACCTAAATGGTATTAATTAGAAAAGGAAGAAAATCCCAAAATCCTTGGAATTAACCAATATACTTCTAAATAATCTATGATTTAAAAAAATATCAGAGGGGAAATTTTAAAATATTTCAACTGATCAATAATTGTTTTAAAAAATCAAAATTTTATGATACAGCTAAAGCACTATTAGAGAAATTTTGGCTTTAAAAGCATATACTAGAAAAGAAGAAAAATGAAAAATCAATATCTAGGCTTCCACCTTAATAAAATAGAGAAAGAAAAACAAATTAAAACTAAAGAGTAAAAAGAAAAAGAAGAAAAAAAGAAAGAAAGAAAATTATAATCAATGAGTTAGAAGATTGAAAAACATTAAAGAGTTAATTCTTTGAACAAATAAATATGCTTATAAATCCTAGCAAGAATAATCAAGAAATAAGACAGAAAACATAAATTACCTAAGTCAATATTGAAACAGGAGATTCCACTACAGAGCCTACAGACCTTAAAAGGATAATAAGTAGACAGATGAAATGGACAAAGTCTTAAGATACACTATTTATTGAAACTGGTCTAAACTGAAATTCTTAAAGAAATAGAATTTTTAACCAAAAATTTTCCCACAAAGAAAATTCCAGTGCCAGATAGTTTCACCAGTAATTTCTACAAACATTTAAGGAAAAAAATAATAATCAAACATTTTTATGAAATAACATTAAATGAAAATAGAAGAAGAGAGAACTCTTCTCAACTTTTAGTATGAGGCCAAAATAAAATGCTATGAAAAGTCTACAGCTTAGATCACATCAAGTGGTAAAAGACTGAATGTTTTTTCCCCCAAATCAGTAAAAAGTTAAGGATATATTCTCACATCACTTCTATTCAAAAACGTACAAGAAGTCCTAGCCAGTGCCATATTCAAAATAAGAAATAAAGACTATAAAGGAAGAAATAAAACTTTAATTATTTACAGACAACATGATTATCTACATAGAAATTTGAAATCTACCAAAACACTATTAGAACTAATAAGTGAATTTAGCAAGGTCACAGGACACAAGGTTAATAGTTTTTTTTTAAGTGTTTCTATATAATAGCAACAAAATGGTGGGGGGGGATATAATATATTCAATAGTATCAAAGCATCATAAACTTAGAAATAAAGTGAATGAAAAATGTGAAAGACCTCTACACTAAAATATATAATGCATTGTTGAGAGAAATTAAAGAAAGCAAATAAGTGGAGAAATCTACATTCATGGGTTAAAAGACTCAATATTGGTTCCATCTTTATCCTCAGATTGATCTAAGGATTCAACACAATCCCAATCAAAATCCCAGCAGATTTCTAAAAGAAACTGACAAACTCATTCTAAAATTCTTATAAAATGCAAATGATTTTGAATTAGAAGAACAATCTTCAATGAAGAAGAACAATCTGCATAAATAACAATCATGATTGAGAAGAACTAAGTGAGAGACTTTATACTATCTGATTTTGACTTACACTCATCTAGCTACAGGAATCAAGAAAGTGTGTATTGGTGTAGGGATAAATATATTAAATGGAACACAATAGAGTTCAGAAATAGACCCACACTTACATGGTCAGTTGATTTGCAATAGAAGTGTCAAGGTAATTGAATAGGAAAGGAAATTCAATAAATGGTGCTGGATCAACAGAATAAACAATAAAATTAACCCTGACCCCATCTCATTCCATATGCAAAACTTAGATGAAGCATATATCTAAGTGTAAAAGCTAAAACCATAAGGCTTCTAGAAGAAAACATGAGACTATTTTCACAACCTTGGGATTAGGCAAAATTTCTTAGGACACAAAAAACACTATCAATTTTAAAAATAGATACACATTAGATTTCACCAATATTAAAAGATACCATTAAGAAAACAAGTCAATATTCAGAATAAAATACTTACAAAAATGACTCTCATAAAGATTATATATTTTTTAATACTCCTACAAATCAACAATAAAAAAGAAAACAATCCAATTTTTTAAATGAGTAAAAGTCTTCAACAGAATTTTTAAATTATTACTTAAGAAAATACAGAAATGGCCAATAAGCATATTAAATGGTTCTCATCATTAGTCATCACAGAAGTGTATGCTAAAACCACAATAAGATATCATTTCACACCCACTAAAATGGCTAAAATTAATTAAAATTAAAATGGCTAAAACATAGTATCAAATGTTTATGAGGCTATGTGGAGAAATTGGAACTCATACATTTTTGGTCAGAGTGAAAAATGATGTAACCCCTTCAGAGAAGTGTTAGGTTCAATTTCTCACAAAATTAAACTATAACCAGTAATCCTTCTGCTAAGTGTATAACCTAGAGAAATGAAAACATGTGCCAACAAAAAGACTTTAACAGTTTATAGTAGTTTTATTCATAATAACTCCAAACTAAAAACAACTCAAATGCTATCCACAGAAAAATATTGGATAAACAATTTGTGTGGTTATATTCGCATAATGGAAGAGCAACAAAAAAATAATAAACTTTCTTTATACCCAACAACATGAATAACTTTAAATACATCCTATTTAATGAAAGGAGCCAAACACAAAAGAATACACAGAGCATGATTTCAGGTATACAGAGTCCCAAGATAGAAAACTAATCTGCAGTGTTAGAAATCAGGAAACATTTGCTTTTGATGGGAGAAGT